AAGTTTGTTTTTTAAAACAAAATGAAATAATTTTTTTGCTAAAACAAAATTAAGTACCTAACTAATATTTAACTTATATGCTCTTTAATGTCCTAAATGTCTTAATTGCTAATACTGAGATACATTTTAAAATCTCCTTCCCAATTGCTTCAGTCCTACATTAAAATCTTCCACTTGAAGCTACGAAATGATTATATTAGACAATACCTCTATCTATCTAGATGTTTTTAACAAAGGGTGGTTGTCAGATTCATTATGAATAAAGAGAATTATCATAGTGTGATAAAATAGCATTTTTTGCTATAGAAATCGAACTTATAATTGTCCCAGGGGAGAATTCTTCTAATACCTTAGATAATTAGTGAAGTTCTATTATTAGTAGTATTAGTGAATGTTACTGTTATGGTAGTAATAATAGTAGTAGTAGTAGTAGTAGTAGTAGTAGTAGTAGTAGTAATGGTGAGCCTTAGCAATAAGAGGGGAGAGAAACTCTACTCAAAGTAGTAATTCTTTAATATTATAAAACACTTCTTTCTGTCTCAGTTATATGCCTTGCACAGTTATGTTCCTTATACAGTTATGAACCTTACATTTTGTAAATAAATACCTATCATACTTTTGAAAGAAAGATGAAAGGGATTCAAGTAGTTTTACTTAAGTTTGGGTTAGCTATAAGATGTACATGTTTTTAAATGTATGCAATTGCTGTAATCTCGCTTGAAATTTTAAAGTGCTATATTAAGTCTTACATAATAGAAAGGGCTGGAGCGATAGCACAGCGGGTAGGGCGTTTGCTTTACACGCAGCCAACATGGCCGACCGGAGTTCGATTCCTCTGCCCTTCTCGGAGAGCCTGGCAAGCTACCGAGAGTATCTCGCCTGCATGGCAAAGCTTGGCAAGCTACCCGTGATGTATTTGATATGCCAAACACAGTAACAACAAAGTCTCATACTGGAGACATTACTGGGCCCGCTCGAGAAAATCGATGAACAACGGGAGGACAGTGACAGTGACAGATAAATAGAAAAAAGTCTATTTTTTATAAACTCTGTATTAAGGTAAGAATTTAATTTACAATATAAATCTCATTTGTTTAACTGAAAAGGATCTCTTTTTAAAATAGCCTTTGTTTTCCATGTTATTGCAATAGATGAGTGAGGTGACAAGAAAAATATAAGATATGATTACATCTGTTTTATGAATCCTCTTTGAGGTTTATACAATCCTGCTCAAGCTAACAATAAATAGATTTATATGCCCAGAATTTTGAGCGCATAGATATCACAATTTAAACACCTGATATTTGATCATTTTAATCTGTTTTATAAATTCCAAGGAGGTATGTCATTGAATTTCTTGCTTTGTGAAAATTTTGCATTAAATTTTAGATGATTAAAATGTTTTTGAAAGCTTTATTGCCAGAAGGAAGGATTTCGTGGTGAGGTGTAGTAATTTAGTTATTGATACCATAAGCCTTAACACTATTATAATTTCCTAAACTATAATTCTAAGAAAAGGAAAAGGAGAAAATGATTTTTTGAGATAAAAGTGACATGTTATAATTTGAAGTATATAGAGTGAATAAGACTTAGAATTTTGTTTACATGAAAACATCTACATTGTTCCAGGGAGGTAACTTAATATATGGGAGATCCAAGTCTAATTCCTGGCACTGCATGGTTATTATGTGTGGTCCCCAAACTAAAAGTAAACAAATAGCAACTTCCCTTATATATGTATTATCATATATTTTATTCTAAATAAAATAGAATAGTAACTAAAAAAATAGTGACTCAAAGAATATGTGCAGCTTGATTGATCCAACATCTACTTTATGAAACTCTAGTATTAACAATGTTAAGGCTTTTAATCGGATATTGAAAACCACTATGGATTTTTTAAGTGCCATCAACTTGTATTCTAGCTGTAATTTAATTTTAAAATCTATTTAAAGTGAACAGGATAGATCTAAAAGCTATATAAAACAGCAGGAGATAGTACTTACTGCTTGAAGTGGAGTGGCTTGGAACAGTGAACACATTATTTGGAAATTAATCTATCAAGAGATGACAGTTCATATTAAGTTCTCATAGAGCCTGTTTGTTTTTAGGGCCACACTCTGTGTGCAGAGGAAATGTTCCTGACTTCTTGCTCAGGGGTTGATCCCAGTAGTACTTGGGGGAACCATGTGGTGCTGGTTATTGAAGCCAGGTCCCCATAATTAAAAGCATTTACTCAGTCATATCTCTTTGACCCCCTCAGTGTGAACCTTTTTAAGGATATAGAGAAGGTGTTTATTAAGCGAAAGTTATAAACTAGGCTTATTTTCTTGGAGACAATGAAGGTGTTAAAATTCTAACAGACTTGGATGACTGATCACCTAAGCAAATAAATTTTTTCTGTATAATAAGTTTAAGCATAGCCAATAGAAAGTCTAAAAGAAATAATTGATATGTATTCCCAAGAGGTTGTAACAGATATTTCCTTAAGACAAGTACAGACTTTCTTCCACATTGAAAACATTTCTAGATACCCAGAGAAATTCATATAGGTCTAGCAAGCAGGACAGTAGGTTCCAGTGTTTTTTATGCTTTACTGTGTTTTTTCCTCCTTTGGAGAGCATGTGTGAAGATTAATTATAGAAAAAAAGATGTTAGAGTAATAGTGTAATTTCATTTGAAAACCACAGTATGGAAAATAACCTTTTAAAATAGGCTCTCACGTGTATAAGTAGGTGTGTGTAGATAAGCTTTCTGAATTTAGAGAATATCTACATATAAGTAATACAGATATATATTCTTCCTCTTGCTCAATTATGGTCCATAATTTAGAGAGGTAATGCCTGTAATATGATAGAGCTGTGGTTAATCTAAGAAATCTAATGTCATTTGTGACTGGGTTATTTCATTGCTTTTCTTTGGCAGTGAAAGCAAATGCATCTTGGAGAAAAAGGGTTATGATTAATGGTATACTGAGATAATATATGCCTGCATATGCCATTTTGATTCTGTGTTGAGGAATATTTTAGGTGTGCTGTGGATACGCAGATGGGGATTTTGAAGCACATAACTGTAAATCAGTCTGTTTTAGTCAGATCTTCTAACTTATGTGGAAAAGGAGGAGGAACAATACCAGATTTTTATACAGAGGGAAAAAAATTCAGTCTTTTAACATTCCCTTTTTAGTTGATTAACAGCTTGTGGGTAGGTGAAATCCTGAATTATTATTCTGGATACTTCAGGATAGAAAAGCACTGACCAGAAAGAAATGAACAAGGAAATGGCAGAAAAATCTAGTGAGTAAAGGGTTTGAAGAAAGAAAATGATAAAAGGAAGAAATTATGTATAGTTTAAGAAGTTTTTCTAGCAGTACCACTTCTGAAATATACCGTGGGGGCACAAAACCACACACAGCAGAAACACTATCTTGCTCTTATGTTCACTGCAGCACTATTCACAATAGCCAGAATCTGGAAACAACCTGAGTGTCCAAGAACAGACGGATGGATAAAAAAAACTATGGAGAGCTACACAATGGAATGCAATGCAGCTGTTAGGAAAAATTAAGTCATGAAATTTGCCAGTAAATGGATGGACGTGGAGAGTATCATGCTGAGTGAATTGAGTCAGAAGAAGAGGGATAGATAAAGGATGACTGCATTCACTTGTGGTGTATAATATAATTACATTATATATAATTATACTTATGTAAATCTTAAATATAATATGCATATTATATATTAGAAGACTAATGTTCATGACTAGGGAAAACAGAGGCTAGGAGTACTGGTCAAAGGTTGAAATCAACTACACTTGTGTGGGGTGAAGAGAAGGTAAGATAGAGAAGAGAACAGTATGACAATAATAGCTGGAAATTATTACATTGGACAAGAACTGAGTGATAAAAGTAGATAAAGGGATATTCCTGATAACCTTTTAGTATCTGTATTGCAAACCACAATGCCCAAAAGGAGGAGAGAGAGAGTGCACCTGTCATAGAGGCAGGCTGGGAATTGGGGGGATGGGGTGGTGGGAGGAAAACTGGGGACTCTGGTGCTGGGAAATGTACACTGGTGGAGGGGTGGGTGTTGGAATGCTATGACTGAAATCTAATCACGAATAGCTTTGTAATATCACAATGATTCAATTAAAATTTTTTTAAATGAAAGAAGTCTTGGAAATTAGTGTGATATTTAAAGCAGTGTCAGAGAAGAAAATTTATTCCAGAAAGAAAAGGGTGTTGGGAGGATCCTTCCAGGATGGGAGATGCATGCTGAGAGTAGACTTTAGACTGAACTTGATTGTCACTCAATGCCTCTTTTGCAAACCACAGCACCCAAAAGGAGAGAGAACAAAGGGGAATGCCCTGCCACAGAGGCAGGGTGGGATGGGTCCGGGGAGGGGGGGGTGCGGGGGGGGGGGGGGGGGCGGAGTGGGGAGGGATACTGGTATCAGTGGTGGTACCGGTGGAGGGATGGGTATTCGATCATTGTATAACTGAAACCCAAGCACAGAAATTTGTAAATCTACAACTGTACCTCATGGTGTTTCACTAATAAAAATCTAAAAAAAAGAAAAAGAATTAAATACAAATTAGATGGGTTGTAATATGGGATTTCGATCAAGATGGGGGGCAGGAAATTAAAAAATCTAGTTTTCTTACAGTGAAGTTGCCTCTTAGTTTGAGCTGTGGGTTTGCTGTTACCTTCCAGGGAGAGCTTTGTTCATCTTCTGGTTAAATAATAAATAATTGGAAGATTATAATTTTTAAAACCTCCATTTGAAGGTTTATATCAAATAAGCACTTAATATCAATTATGTCATTTGATTAAAATTTCTGTATCTTTGTGAAAAATATCTTGCCTTAGTAGTAATCTATGTATTTAAACATTTAATTTGTAATGCATCTGAATATTACTTAATATCACTAGTATAAATATTAAGAAATATTTTACCTTAAAACTTTCCTCTAGACTAAAACTTGTACTCCTTTTTTTTAGGACAGCCAGTAGAGGGGACTTCATGTTTTCTGCGGATCGTTTGGTAGGTGGAGGATTTCCATTCTCATTCTGTTGTTCCTTGTGATATAATCACATTAGGTTTAAGGGGAATTCTTGTTTGGTAACATTCTGGGTGTGAGAGATTATTCAGGTAACCATCTCACTAGGCTTTTGAAGTTTTGTTGCTACTGTTGCATGAGGTCTACTCCAACTCATTTTATATAAAACTATTTCCCATTAACTTATTCTTTGTAGTTCTGAGGTACTACTATCCTTCAAATAGATTTTGGTAAACTGACCCTGAGGAACACTTAAATGCCTGATCTTAGATCAGTGAAAAACATTTTAGGAAACTAAAGAAAACCAAAGAGAACTGATAGTTACCTTTGTCATACCATCTGATGCACAAACACTAATACTCCTCTTGTGCTTTACATGGAAGAGGTGTAGTTTATTTTTCATTTTTGCGTGTGTGCTTTGTCAGTATGTGAAGTATTAAAGTTGTCTATTAGTGCTTTCTTTAGTACTTTTGTTAAGAACTAACAAAGCCCATTTCCTATCTAAGTGTGATCTGAATTGTTCTCAGGCCAAATTCAGTTGTCCTTAGGCTAAGATCTGTATTTCCTTCTTGTGTTTGTGTCCAGTGCCTAATATGACACTGACACATTTTCTGCTCTGATTATTAGTGTTTACCCATTAAAAATACTGTAATCATGTGAAGCACTCACTAGGAGTTACAGCAGTGCAGAATATAGACAGGGTCCCTGATCTTGTGGAGCTTACAATTTAACAACTGTTGTATTTAGTTGAGGAAAGAAATAAAAGTGGATTGTTTAACCTCATAAGTATAATCATTAGTAGAAGATAACTTATTAAAGGGAATATTGTGGGCAGGGAGATGAAAAAGACATGACATTTTTAAATTTAGATTTTTATCTTGGGAACGTCTTCACTCCGAAAGAGTGTAGAAAATTCCTGTTCTATTTTGGACTTAAATATTTTTGGTTCAGAGGTCACTTCTATTTATAATTATTTGAGCATGAAGGTGCAGTAATAACTCTTAGGTTTCATATAGATAATATGTAGTTAGTATTCCCAGAGTGATAGATAATTCTATATACTTTTATCAAAGCAAGAGAACAGGTTCAAAAAGGAATGAACTTGTTTCTGGTGTGGTTGAGGTAGGGAAAACTGAGGTCTTATTTGGTGTTCTCCGGCAGAAAACGGCTTCTGTATATATTTTGCTTATCTTATGCCCTCTTTCTATACAAAGTAGCAGTCAGGTTGATTGTTATAAAAATTGTAGAATGATTCCTTGAAAGGCAGGTGTTATGTATTAGTCAAATAATATCAACAAGGACCCATGGCATAGCCACTTGAAAAGATGGTAACTGTGTGTTCTCTGTTCGCTGCAGTTAGCTTTGACTATCCTGATATTAAAGTGACTACTGTGACTATAGTACTGTCAGTCCAGGCATCATGTCTTACGAATTTCTTGTACACTGTGTCTTCTAGCACATGGGTGCTATTGGATTTGACAATAATTTTAGTCTGATTTTGTCACATTTAACTTCCTGACATTAATATCTTTAATTGTTTATATTCTATTTACTCTTATGATTTTATGTTCTCTCATATGTCATGAACACACTAATTTCCGTTGCACTCTTGTAAGAAATAGTTCTACAGGTCACTTGCTATAATTTTACATCTCTCATTTTGAAGCATGAATTGACTGAATCAGAATCAGAACACTCACTCGAGCTTTTTGGTTTAATAGTATGCCTAACCAAGGTTGGATACCTACCAATGAGAAGCCTGGCTTAAAGATCTGTCTTTCCATGTAACATATGATATGGGTCCCCATCCAATCTGCTTAAGCTAAATGCTTGCTCAGTATGTTAATGCTTTTTGGCCAAGTATTCGGCTGAGGCTAAGCTACAGGAGATTCTTGGCAGATTCTTAACTCATTCTTCCTTTGACTCTCTAGATCAGACTTGTTGTGGAAGAGGGATTGAATCAGTTACCATATAAAGAATGCATGGTGACCACTCCAACAGGTAATCAGAACCATTGCTCTCATAATCTCACACTTCAGAGATAGAATTGGGGGCGGGGGATAGAAGGAATATGTGAGTTAATCTGTTTAAGCTGAGGAGTCTAATGAAGCTTTTTGTTCAAAATTAAACAAAGACACATTTAGTAATTTACACGATTAACTTTTTGTTAATGGATTGCTTGTCAATTCGAGTTAAAGGCTAATATGTATTCTTCAACTTGGAGGTGTTGCCTTTGATGGTAGTCCTTTGGGTCCAGAGTTAAGAATTGTTGGCAGCTTATCTTTACCTCTGTGTTGAGGCTGCTGGTTTTAACTAATGGGTGAACCTGGTTTAACTTTGAAACTTTAGCTAAAAGAATGAGAAGTTTTTTTCAACCTTGTAATTATATGAGAAGGCTTATTTACAATGTATGAAATTCACAATAAAATAATAAAGCAATGAGAAAAGAATGAGGAGTTTAAAAAGAATAAGTAAAAACAAAACTAGATAAGGTGCTTTGTTCTACTGTCTAATAAAAAGCAAAAACCCCTGTTTCAGGGGCATGGAATAATGGAATAATGGAATCTTATCTACTCAAAAATTACCTTTATGAAAAATGGAATTGAGCGTGCTGCATCTTAATTGACACAAATTCAGGATGAAAACATGTGTGAAACAAATATTGTTAACAAGTATTTCAGCCTCTGTCTTCTGCTTTCTTTATGGTGGAGGTGGGGGTGGTGTTGGCACATACTCAACGGTGCTCAGGGCTTACTCCTGGCTCTGTGCTCAGGGATCACACCTGGCAGTGCTTGGGGGACCATATGTGGTGCTTGGAATTGAAGCTTCATGCAAGGCAAGCAAGGCTGTGCTATCTCTCTGGCCTTGTATTCTGCTTTTTAAGGCAGATGGAGACTCATAAAAACAGACAGAATGAAGAGGGAGAGTCTGCTGTGGTTCACGGTAGGGAACCCGTTTGAATTGATGAAGTTTTTTTGTGGGTAAATGATTAAAAGTTTGTGTTTTATGCTCTTAAAAGTTCAGTAACTTTGCACACCAAAAGCAAAAATGTTGATAAAATTGTAGCCATGTTACTGCAACATTTTTATGCTCAACAGCTACATTTTAAAATGTTCAAGTTAGAATTTTTTGGTGAATTAGAAGGTGTATAATTTCTACTTTGCAAACTATGTAGACACCCACCTGAAGAATGTTATTTATATTATTACATAGTGTTCAAAGTCAACTTGACATTGTTATAAAGCTTTTAAAAGGAAGATGTATTGGACAAGACATAATGGTTTTATAAGACTTGAAGTGAAAATGTTGCAGGGGTGTTACAGCATTTACAGTATTCTTGTACTGCAATGATCCTCCTCTAATTTCAGCTTGAGGAATCCATACTAGAATATAATACTATATGTATAATGGTAAGTCTTATTACCACTCGATGAAGTACATTACTCTCAATTATCTATACAGATGGTTTTAAACTTTTTTAAAGCTAATGTTGGTATATAAAAGTGTAGATGTCTATGTTTTAGGATTTCAAAGCTTCATACCCACTACCAAAGTATCAATATCCTACCCACAAGTTTCTTATGAAGAATTAAGAAATAAATGAAAGTATGACATTTTTCATTACTATCTCAGAGAACCTAAGATATTGTGTGTCTGTACAGGGTTGCTCTATATCCATCAACTTTAGAACTTTATAATAAAAGTAGGTTGCTTCAATAGAGGAAAATAAATTCTTTGGTTTTATTCCCCAACAGGGTACAAGTATGAAGGAGTGAAATTTGAAAAGGGAAATTGTGGGGTCAGCATAATGAGAAGCGGTAGGTTTGCATGTATATAATTTTATCTTTGCACACATAGAAACAGTTGCTATTTTCCAGGGTAGAGGTGAGCTCCTTTGTTATTGTGTCCTACCTTATTGTCTTTTACACTCATGGCCTGAATGTTGTTGAGTTTCACTAATTTTATCTATAGAGCATCTTTACAGACATTTTCAAGATCAAGCTAACTTTCGAAGAGATTGATTTGGAGGGTGTGAGGATAGAAAAATGTTATAATGCTATCTTGGGTTGAATGGGACAGTTTGAAGGCCAATAGCATAGGATTAAAATTCAAATCTGACTCAGAATTCCAACTCAAAATACCTTTACTTTATAAATCTTTTTTGGAGTAATCCTACCCTGTCAGGAGTTGGAATGAATGTTTTATTTTTAGTTTTGTATTTAGTGTTTGGACAAGTAGGCAAAAGCACTCGCTATCATTAATTCTAGAAATTTCCAATTGCTGATCTTATAAATATTGTGTTTCTCTTTGAGTCTTATTATTCTTTTAAGTCAACTTTTGTGCACCATAATCACATGCCTTAACCTGTCACATTGGGATGGATAGTTATTTACATTTAGTAACTTAATTGACTTTTTAGACTCAATGTAAGATATGGTAAAGGCCAAATTGCATGTACTAGAAACAGATAGATTATTCTTTTTCCCCTAGTATTGTCATATATCTGTATATTTGTGTTTCTTGTTTGTTTGCTTGCTTGCTTTTTAAAAGATTTTAAAAATTGAACCACTGTGATATAGACCCTTACAAAGCTGTTCATGATTAGATTTTAGTCATACAGTGTTCTGACATCCACCCCTCCACCAGAGTATGTTTTCCAGCTCCAGTATCCCCAGTTCCCTCCTATTACTGCCCCTCCCCCGCCACCCTGCCTCAATGGCAGGTGCTTTTCTTCTTTCTCTCTATCTCTCTCTTTCTCTCCCTCCATCCCTCCTTCTCTCCTTCTCTCCCTCTTCTCCCTCTGTTTCCTTTTGGCCATTGTGGTTTGCAATACAGATACTGAAAGGTTATCAGGTATATCCCTTTACCACTTTTACCACTTTTAGTTCTTGTCCAGCGTGATCATTTCTAGTTATTATTGTTATACTGATCCCTTCATGTTTTATACATAGTCACATTCCCTTTTTCTCATCTTAGAAGTTCTGTTTGTGAATAATTGAATATCTTTTTTGAGGGGGGGCTCACACCTGGTGGTGCTCAAAGGTTACTCCTGACTTTGCACACAGGAATTACTTTGGCAGTGCTCATGGAACCATATGAGACGACGAGGATCAAACCCACCCAGGTGGACACCTTACAAGGCAAATGCCCTACCTTCTGTACTATTGCTCTGGCTGCATAATCAAATATGTTAAGGAAGGCAGAAGCTTTTAGCTCTCTATTTTATGGAAGGTAGCTCTTAATCAGTGATCGGATTCTCAGGATAGTGTTTTTCTACCTTCTAAAATCAGTGAAGAAAGTCAAGATGGACTTTTAAGATAAAATTGCTGCTCTTTCAGTCTGGCTTTTCGTGCCTAAAGAAGGCAGCATGGTCCATGTGCTTCTAGTGTATATAACAGATAACATGGACTGATGCATTGAAGGTAGATTTTTGTTTTGTTTTAATTTCTGATTATTTTTTAAATACAAAGTTATTCGTGATTGTGTTTCAGATTTACACTATTACAACACCAATTCCTTCAACAATGCCCATTTCCCTCCATCAGTGTCCCAGTTTTCTTCCCATTCCCCTGTCTGTCTCTGTAGCAGGCAATTCTTTTCCATCCCCTCTCCTCCCCTCCTCTCCCCTCCTCTCTCCCCTCCCCTCCTCTCTCCTCTCCTCTCCTTCCTTCCCCTCCCTTCCCCCCTCTCCTTTCCTTCCCTTCCCTTTTTTTTGAGAGGCCACACTGGAAAGTGCTAGGGATCACTCCTGGTGGGGCTCAAGAGACCATATGGGTGATAGGATCGAAAACAGCTCAGTGCCCTACTTACTGTACTATTGCTTTGGCTCCCCTTTTCTTTCTTTTCTCTTTAGCATTGTGGTTTACAATACTGTTACCGATAGGGTATCATGCATGTCACTTTAATGTTCCCTTTCCAATGCTATCCTATCCCCCCATCCCCAGTGACAAGCTTCTTACTAAAGACAGGCTCTCATATTCTTTATGGACAGGTAGTTTTTATTTTTATTTTAGTTATTTTGGAGAGAGTATTACACTCAGTGGTACTCAGTGCTTACTCATTTCTGCACTCAGGGATCACTCCTAGAGGGACTAGGGGGAGTCATGTAAGATGTTGGGGATCAAACCTGGTCCACCATGCACAAGACTAGCACCATACCACCTGTGCTCTCTCTTCAGCGCCCTTGACAGATATTTTTAAAATTTTTTTTATTTTGTTACCGTGTATTTACACAGTTATTCATGACTGGGTTTCAGGCATACAATGTTTCAGCACCAATCCCTTCACCAGTGTCTACTTCCTTCCACCACAGCCGCCCCCCTCGAACCCTATTTGCCTTCCATTAACCAGTCTGCTTCTTCATGAAGCTCTTTAGTGTGATGTGTATATGTAAAGTTTTTGCACTGGGGTTTATAGTACTGTTGCTGATAGGGTTTCATACATAGCACTTTACCACCTTTCGGCACCACCTCTTCCTCCCAGTTGAATGCTTCCTACCACTCAACAGCTAGATTTTAAGCTTTGTAATTATACTGGTTGATTTTAATATTTATTAGAAATTTTTTATTGATGCTAGTGATTGATACAAAGTTTCTTTAAATAAATTAAAACAGTTCATTTAAATAAAAATATTAAATAAAATATACTAGAATAATATTTATAAAGCCTTGAAGATGGTGTGGAAATGAATGACTTTTAACAAATACTTTAAGAAACTCGTAATTAAAAGTAGCTTTATGATCAGATACCTAAGGTCTTGGTTGCATTTTTTATGAAGGAGGGGAAAAGTTTTTAAATTGTTTACCAGGAAAGCCACTGCCGCTGAAGTCATTGTCTAAGATATTTCCCAAAGAGGCCTTGATCTAAAAGAAGCTCCTTTGGTCTGTAGCCTCTATTACATGCATCTTTTATATTTTTTAGATTTAATTTAAAAGTAAGTGTTGTAAATACATCTTTAAAATAACAGCACAGAAATGTTTCTTACATTGGAAAGCTCAAGGAGCAGCTTAACAAAATCCCTTATTTCCTGTAATTATGGAAGCTTGGCAACTCTAGAAGCCAGTAATGAAACCCACTTAGCTTAGTTTCACTGACTAACACTTAACCTAGTTTCACTGGTCTGTGAGATAAGTATAAAATAAGAAGATATCAGAAGTAAAAGCTGTTCGCTTAAGTAAAGTTGCTTCCATCTTGACAATGTTCTTTTTTCAAAGTACCACTCACAAACACTGCTTTGACTTCTTGGACTTTCACTCTATCCCCCCTTAACCATTTTTTCCCTTTTTATGTCGGTTTTCAAGGTGAGGCAATGGAACAAGGTTTACGAGATTGCTGTCGATCCATACGAATTGGAAAAATCCTGATTCAGAGTGATGAGGAGACACAGAGAGCCAAAGTGTATTATGCCAAGTTTCCCCCAGATATTTACAGGAGAAAAGTCCTTCTGATGTATCCAATTCTTAGTAAGTGACTTGAGCTTAATCTGTAACTTTTGGTTAAGATATATATTCAACATAGTGGCAGTTTCACTAAAGTAAAAAATCCACTCCACTGCCCAAAACACAAAAACTGTTTCTCAGTTGAATTTGGAGTTGCCCAAGGATGTTCACTGGGGAATTTTTATTATGTAAAAATGAGAATATCTATTAGTCAAATTTTATTACCTCCAATGAGTCGTCTTTAATACATTGAAGTAATGGATCTAATGAGGCAGAATATGTAGAATACAGAAAATATTGAAGCATGTTACCTCTACAGGCAAATAAGTATACATATGATTTTCTCAAATATTTATGCTCTCTGAAGGTAATATTTTTTCTCCTATTATATTGTTTCCTAAGCTTTAATCACACATGCAACACTGTGGGTCTCAATACTGAATAAATTTAGAGCTTGTTTTGCATTTGAATACTGAAAGTATTTGTCATATCCATTATTGAAAATAAAAGCCCTGATTTAAAAAAAGACACATTCAATGAACGAATGAAGCTTTACCTGTAGTACTTTTTACAATATATTTTTTAATTGAAGCACCATGAGGTGCACAGTTACAAAGCTGTTCATGTCAGGTTTCAGTCATACAATATTCCAACATCTATCCTTCTTCCAGTACACATTTCCCACCGCCAATGACCCCAGTTTTCCTCCTGACACCCCCACCCCAAACCCCACCACAGACTGTCTCTGACTGGCAGGCACTTCTCTCTCTCTCTCTCTCTCTCTCTCTCTCTCTCTCTCTCTCTCTCTCTTCTTTTGTGGTTTGCAATAGACACTGAGAAGTTGTCATGTTTGTTTCTTTTTTAAATTTTTAAATTTTTTTATTTTTAATGAATCACTGTGAGATACAGTGACAGACTTACAAACTTTCGTGATTACATTCCAGTCATATAATAATCCAGTACCCATCCCTGCACCAGTGCTCATTCTCCACCAGCAATGTTCCCAGTATCCCTCCCACCACCCCCATCCTCTCCTGCCTCTGTGACAGGCACATTCTCTTTTACTCTCTCTCTTGTGTTTGTTTCTTTACCTATTTGCATCACACAGTTCTTACCCAGAGTGATCATTTCCAGCTATCTTTGTCATAGTGGTTCCTTCTCTGTCACAACTGACGTCTTCCTCAGCACTTGAGGCAGTCTTCCAACAATGGGTCATTCCTCCTGATCCTTGTTTCTACTGTCTGTGGGTATTGGTCACATATTATGTTTTTTAATATCCCACAAATGGGTGTAATCATTTTATGCTGCCCCTCCCTTTCTGACTCATTTCAGTCAGCATGATACTTTCCATGTCTATCCATTTATAAGTGAATTTCATAACTTCATTTTTCCTAACAGCTGCATAGTATTGCATTGTGTAGATATACAATAGTTTCTTTAACCAGTCATCTGTTCTCAGGGTGCTTGGGTTGTTTCCAGATTCTGGCTACTGTGAATAGAACTGCGATGAATATAGAAGTGCAGGTGGCATTTCTGCTGCGTGTATATTCCCAGAAGTGGTATTGCTGGATCATATGGAAGTTCAATTTCTAGCTTTTTGAGAAATGCCCATATTGTTCTACAAAAAGGCTGGACCAGTTGGCATTCCCACCAACAAGGAAGGAGAGTTCCTTCCTCCCTGCATGCACGCCAGCACTGGTTGCTCTTGTTCTTTTTGATGTGTGCCAGTCTCTGTGGTATGAAATAATATCTCATTGCTGCTTTGATTTTGATCTCCCAGATGATTTGTGATGCAGAGCATTTTTTAATGTGTCTTCTGACCATTTGTATTTCTTCTTCGAGGAAATTTCTGTTCATTTCTTCTCCCCATGATGGGGTTGGATTTTTTTCCTTGTAACTTTTTACCAGTGTCATATATATCTTGGATATTAAACCCTTATCAGATGGTATTGCATAAATAATTTTCCCAATATGTGGTCTATCTTAGTATCTTGGTGACAATTTCTTCTGAGATGCAGAAGCTTCTTAGTTTAATGTAGTCCCATTTGCTTTTCTTTGCTTCCACTTGCTTGGACAGTGGTGTTTCCTTGAAGATTTCTTAAGCTTCAGTGTCATGGAGGATTCTACCCGTATTTTCATCCATATACTTTATGGATTCAGGTCTGGTATTGAGGTCTTTAATGCATTTTGATCTGAATTTTGTGCCGAGTGTTAGAAATAGGTCTAAGTTAATATTTTTCACATGTAGCTGCCCAGTTTTCCCAGCACCACTTGTTGAAGAGGCTTTCCTTGCTCCATTTCATATTTATTCTCCTTTATCAAGTATTAGTTGAGCATGTATTTGAAGGTCAGTGTCAGGATATTCAACTCTGTCCCATTAATCTGCGGGTCTGCCTTTACTCCAATACCATTCTGTTTTAATTACCAATGCTTTGTAGTAGAGTTTGAAGTTGAGGAAAGTGATGCCTCACACTTTCTATTTTCCATGAATTGCCTTAAATATTCTTGGAGGATTATTCTTCCATATGAATTTCAGGAGTCTTTGAACTATTTCTTTGAAAAATATCATGGGTGTCCTTACAGGGAATGCACTGAATCTGTATAATGCTTTGGAGAGTATTGCCATTTTGACATGTTAATCCTCCTAATCCATGAGCAGGGGATGCGTCTCTGTTTCCTCCTGTGTTTTTCAATTTCTTGAAGTAGTGTTCTATAGTTTTCTTTTTATAGCTCCCTCACCACTTTAGTTAAGCTGATTCCAAGATACTTGATTTTCTGAGGCACAATTGTGAACAGAATTGTTTTTCTAATATCTCTTTTCTTCTCTTTCATTATTTGTATATAGGAAGGCCATGGATGTTTGGGTATTGATTTTGTAATCTTCCACTTTACTAAACAAGTCTATTGTTTCTAGGAGCATTTGTGTAGATTCTTTAGGATTTTCTAAGTACAGTATCATGTCATCTGCAAATAGTGAAAGCTTGACTTCTTCCTTTCCTATCTGGATCCCATTGATATCTTTTTCTTGCCTAACTACTATGATAAGTACTTCCAGTACTATATTGAATAGGAGTAGCAAGAGTGAGCAAGTCTTGTAGCTGTCCTTAGGGAGAAAGTCTTTTTCCCCATTTAGAATAATCCTTGCTGTGGGCTCTTGGTAGATGGCTTTGACTACCTCGAGGAAAGTTCCTTCAACTCTCATTTTGTTGAGAATTTTTGTCAGAAATAGGTGCTTGATCTTGTCAAATGCTTTATCTGCATCTATTGATATGATCATATATATGCTATGTTATGTTTATTGGCTTGCATATGTTAAACTGTCCTTGCATCCCCTGAATGAATTGAATCCTACTTGGTCATGGTGTATGATCCTTTTGATTAGTTGTTGGATTCTATTTGCAGTGTTTTGTTGGGGATCTTTGCATCTGTGTACATCAGGAACATTGGAGTCTGGAGTGATAGCACAGCGGGTAGGGCATTTGCCTTGCATGCGGCCAACCTGGGTTCGATTCCCAGCATCCCATGTGGTCCCCCTAGCACCACCAGTAGTAATTCCTGAGTGCATGAGCCAGGAGTAACCCCTGTGCATCACCGGGTGTGAATATCCTGGAAACTCTTGAAATGTATTGGCAACTGGTCCTTTTTAAAGGTTTGAAAGAATTCACTAGTGAGTCCATCTGGTTCTGGGCTTTTGTTTGGGGGAAGACTTTTGATTACCATTTTGATTTCCTCAATGGTGATAGGTATATTGAAGTATTTCAAATCATCTTGGTTCAACCTTGGAAGTATAGGAATCCAGGAATTTCTCCATTTCTTCAAGGATCTCTTGTTTCATGGCATAGATTCTCAAAGTAATCTCTGATGACCATATGGATTTTTGTAGTTTCTGTTATGATGTCCCACTTTTCTGATTCGGTTTATTAGCATCATCTCTCTGTTTCTTTCTGAGCCTTGCTAGTGGTTTATTGATCTTTCTTATTTTCTCAAAGAACTATCTCTGATTTTGTTGATTTTTTTGAATTGTTTGCTCATTGATTTCTTCTCTAAGCTTTATTATTTCCTCCCTCCTGCCTTGTTTGGGTTCCTTTTGTTGGTCATTTTCCAAGCTGTGAGGCTAATTTATTTATGTGGACCCCTCTCCTGTCTGGATGAATGCATGCAGAGCTACAAACTTTCCTATTAACATTGATTTTGCTGCGTCCCACAAGCTCTGGTAGCTTGTGTTCTCATTTTTATTTGTTTCTAGAAATCTTTCAATTTTCTTTTTGATTTCTTCTCTAACCTACTTGTTGTTCAAAAGCAAGCTGTTTAAATTCCAGGTGTTTGATTTGATTCTCCATTTATATGTGTGATTCAATTCTATTTTCAGTGCATCATGATCTGAAAAGATAGTTGATATCATTTCTATCCTCTTAATTTTATGGGGGTATAGTTTATAGCCTATCATGTCTATTTTTGAGAATGTCTTGTGTGCACTGAAGAAACATGTGTATCTAGCTTTTTGAGGATTTAAAGTCTTGTGTATGTGTGTGTGTTTCTGTGTATGTGTATTGATGCCCTCTCTTCCATTTCTTCTGGTTGATATATTGAGAGGTGACAAAGTGATATTGAAATTTCCAATTACTATTTTGTTGCTATCAATGTCTATCTTCAAATTTATTTTGTTGTTGTTTTAAGTGTTTTGCTGTTCCCCCGCTAGGTGCATATATCTTTAGGAGTGTGAATTCTTCCTGATGTACAGATCCCTTGATCATTAAAAAATGACCTTCACTGTCTCTTATAACCTTCAACCTGAAGTCTATGTGGTCTGGTACTAGTATAGCCAGCCCAGAATTTTGGAGGGGGTTGTTTGCCTGGAGAATTGCTTTCCAGATGACTTTGAGTCTGTGTTTGCTCTGATGTTCAGATGTACTTCTTGTAGGCAGCAGATGGTTTGGTTCAATTTTCTAATCCATCCTGTCACTCTGTGCCTCTTGATTGGTGCATTTAGTCCATTGACATTGAGAGTCATTATTGTGATGGGGATTTGTGCCATCTTTATGTAAGAGTTTGGTGTACTTGTGGGATTGTCTTGTCTTAAATTAGCCCATTTAATTCTTCTTGTAACAATGATTTTGAGTCTATGATGTTCCTGAGTTGTTATTCATCTGAGAAGATGTATATTGTTTCTTCAAATCTGAATGAGAGTCTGACTGGGTAAATTATTCTTGGTGAGGCATTCATTTCATTAAGTTTTTTCACTATACTCCACCACTGTGTTCACCCTGGAGGGTTTCATCTGATTAAGTCAACTGTGAATCTTAAGGATGTTCCTTTACAAGCAATTTCCTTCTTTAATTTTGCTGCTTTCAGTATTCTATATCTGTCTATGGTTTTTTCCATTCTGATTAGGATGTATCTTGAGGTATTTTAATTTGGATTTTTTTCAGCTGGTAACCTTTGGGCCTTCTGGTTTGTGTGCATGCATTCTTCAGCTCTGGAAACTTCTCAGCAATGATGGCTTTGATGGTTGCTTCTTCATCAGGGTTTTCTTTCTGTCCATCTGATGATTCTTATGTTGTTACCCTTAACTTCACCTTGATGTTCTCTTTGCCATCTTTTGGTTTATTTTGAGGGTTTTATTCCATCTTCTGATGCTGTTTAGAGATTTTCTGTGCCTCATCTTGGAGTTCCTTGAATCTTTCCTCAGCAGCTGTTACTCTACTGCTGAGGCCTAAAGTGAGTTTTTCATTTCACCTACCAGATTTTTCAAATCTGTCATTTCTGCTTTTTTTCTTTCTTGTTTTCCTCATTCCTGCTCTCATATCCTCATATATTTTATTGGCTGTGCATTCTATTGTTTCTTTGAGCTCCTTGTGCATTCTTAACAGTTCCATTCTAAATTCCTTCACTCTAGTATTTTATATTAGATTATTGAACTACTCTTCAGGGAAACTTTGAAATAAGTATTATTGTTGCCAATGCACTTGGTTGTCATTTTATTTCAGGCACTGGAAATACTGTAATTGAAGCTGTAAAGGTTCTTATAGAGCACGGAGTTCAACCCAGTGTTATTATTCTACTCAGTCTATTCTCCACTCCTCACGGTAAGTTCAACACAAGACAGTAAATGGGCTTCCACTCAGTTATGGGGTGTGTAAGTACACATTTGTCCAGCACCTCATCTTAAGAAAAGTTTATGTACCTCCAAATTAAATCTAAATATAACATTTGTAATTAATACCTGTGTTTTGTCACGTCCAAACTTAATGATAATATTCTACACCACTTTGATGATCAAGTTCAATTGGGAAATTATTGATTAACTCTGCTAAAGAGGATGGAATTTTTTTTTCCTGGTGCCCCACTCTGGGCAGAAACTGCAAGTAACCGAGAGATCACTTTATCACTTGAATCCCCATCTGAGTCTAAGAGTTTCTATTAAACAATAAAATCAAGGTTCTAGCTAACACCATAGTCTTCATAAAATAAACATTGAAATAAGAAGCAAAGAATATAAGTATTTAAGTTAGACTTCTGTTAAAAAGACAAGTACATAGTCTCCATTTCTTTTTTTTTTATTTTTTGGAAGCCAATTAATTTTTTTTCTTTATTGGGTCACACTCAGCAATGCTCAGGAGTTACTCCTGGCTTTGCACTCAGGAATTACTCCTGGCGGTGCTTGGGGGACCAAATAGGATGCCGGGGATCGAACCCGGGTCGGCCGCGTGCAAGGCAAACACCCTACCCGCTGTGCTATCGCTCCGGCCCTAGTCTCCATTTCTTAAGTAAATATTAATGCCATATTTAAGATCTCAGTTTTACCTGATAATCTAGGATAATTTGAAAGTAATCTAAGAAAATAAACATATCCTAAGAAAATAATCATTAATAGAGGGTGAAGAGATAGTACACTCAGTACTACCTCCTGCGGTAGGGCACTTGCCTTGCATGCAGCCGAGTCAGGTTCTATCCCCAACATCCCCAAGTGAAAATATCCTGGTCCCCAAGTGAAAACATCCTGGTCCCCAAGTGAAAACATCCTGGTCCCCAAGTGAAAACATCCTGGCACAAAGTCCAGGTCATATGGAATTTAATTTATTAATATTTGAAAAGTATCTGTGCTGTTGTTTTGTGGGGTTGGGGTCTCCCAAGAAGTGCTCAAAAGATCCAGAGGCCCTTAAGGCAGACTGTCAATTTAGTGTGGGACCTAGTGGTGTAACACAGGTTACACCACTAGGTTACACCTAGTGGTGTAACACAGGTTAGGGCCTGAAGTACCATGGGTTACTCGACACATCCTACTCTGCTTAAGGACCTCCAGAAATGCACCTGTTATTGTTCAGGAGCCTCCAGGGCTTCATCCATTGATTCTTGGGGGACCATGTGGTACTGAGGATTGAATCAGGGTCAGTCACATGCAAGTCATGTATCTTAACCCCTGTACTATCTCTCTAACTTTATATTCTTTTCTAAAGAGGCTGAACTGGTGAACATTTCCATCAAGAGTGAATGGGGGTTTCTTTTTCCCCACTTCTCCACCAGCACTGGTTGTGTTCAGTGCTGCACACCATTGTCATTTTGTGAGGTGATGTGTCATTGGCTTACTGATTTGTGTTTCCCTGATGATATGTGATGAAGAGCACTTTTTCATATACCTATTGATTCTTGAGAAAGTGCCTGTTCAGCTTGTCTCCTCATTTTGGTATGAGATTTTGGGTTTTTTTTTTTGAGTGCTCTATAAATCTTGGATATTGGACCTTTATTAGATTCCTGCGAGATTATTTTCTCTGTTTCAGCAAGGCATATTTATTTTCAAGTCATCTGGACTTTTGTAGTACCATTAATGTATTTGCTTCTTCTAATTTTTTAAATTCATTGATGACACCTCTGAAGTCAATATTTTGGAGAGTTTGCTCTCAATTTATTTTATGGTTTTGAAACTGATATTGAGGTTTTTAAGTCATCTTTAATTAAATTTGTGTATGGTGTGAGATAGCAGTTCAGTTTTGGTTTTTGTTTGTTTGCATGTGGGTAACCAGTTTTCCCAGCATCATTTAATAATGTAGTGTGTAAGTCCCCTGTAGGTCCCCCTCTCAGGCTGTGTGAACTCCTCACGCGCGGGGATGACACATTAAAGGATATTCTCGGGCTCTCCGGGCGGCTCTCTCTCGCCGCCCATGTTTGGTGCTCTCGAGCTGCTTCTTCACCCGGATGGCTCTTGCCTTGGGCGGACGAAGGAAGAACGAGGGCCAAGCTGGTGGCTGATTAGTTGCCGTTTATTCAATTCTCTCGTCTCTCCCAGCTCTCTCTCTAACTTGCTCTACAATGCTCTTCAGGACTCCTCTCCAATCTCCCCAGCCACTCTTACTCTCAGCTCTCAGCCTTCTCTCTAACTCGAAACCTTCTCTAACTCTCCTTCCTCTCTCTACCCCCACAGCAATCTTCTACCTCCTCCTAGCGGCAGCTCTTTTTCTTCTCTTTCACTACGTCTCCCGAACCACACCTCCCCAGAGAAAACACAATCGAAATGTTTTTTCCAGTCTTCCTAACCATCTGCAGCCCATAAGGGCAAAACAGCCCTTAAGGTGTGTTTCTCCTCCCCTTAGACCTGCAACTTGGTTAACATCTTTAATTCTCCTTCCTAATATTTTATTACTGTGTCCATACAGAATGGTAAATTTACCATTCTGTATGGACACAGTAATAGACACGTTTAGACTTGAAGGGTGACTCTCCTGGGGCCATCTCACCACAGACTCAGACTACAGTGCTCAGGCTGGATTAATTATTCATAACCCCAGCAGGGTTCAAATATAGTTATTAATTTTTGATCATGACAGAATTTGTCCATGACCAAGCACTTAACTTATAGTTAAGCATTAGGGCACTTTGGCCAGGCCCATTTTGATGCCAGGGTTGCTCATAGCTCACTGCTTGCTCTGGGTCCATTCAGTCCCTGGTCAGGACATGCTTTTGGGGATCTAGGAAGAAAGGGAAACTGAGGCTTAAGTTGAGAGAGCAGATGTCCAAGAGGTAATATTATCTGGAATCAATCAACTCCCAAGCCACAGGCTTATCTTTTTATCTTTCTTCCTGTATCCATACAAAAAGCAATTGCTCTTAAATAACTAACCACGCAAAGGACAGTAAGGGGAAGAGAAAGACAATATTTACAAGTCAGAGTCTGATCAGGAGACAAAGGTAATATAGAGGTTGGAGGGCAATCAACAAACACAAACTCCCAGCGGCCAGGGAGGAATATTATTATTATCCTACAGTGTAGGTTCTTTGTCATAGATTAACTGTCCATATTTCTGACCTTTGGTCTCTGGGTTCTCAATTCTAGACCATTGATCTGAGAGTCAGCCTATATTCCAGTACCACACAGTTTTTATACAATTTAAGTCAGGCAGTGAAAAACTTTCTATCTTCTTTATACCAGGATTTCTTTCTCTATTTGGGGAGTTATTAATTACTCCATATAAATTTTATTTTCCAGGTCTCTAAAAAAATTCCACAAGAATATTCGTGGTGGCCAAATTCAGTCCGTATAGTATTTTGGGTAGGATGGTCAAGTTGTGTAATAATGCTAATCCTTTCAATTCATAAACAGAAGATATATTTCCATTTTCTGTGTCTTCTACTATTTTTTTAAGAGTAATGCAGTTTTTGTGGAAATCTAGGAATTATTTTGTTCAGTTGATTCCTAGTTGCTTGATTTTGAGAAGCACAATCATAAATGGAACTTAAAAGTACTTCAATTTGAACTTATTCTTATTCAATGAATTTCTGCATATTTATTTTGTAGCCTGCCACTTTACTGTATAGGTTTATTGTTTCTAGGATTATACTGTTGAAGATTTTGAGCCTTTCTATCTGTGAATACTTCTTTTTAAATTGGAAAATATTTCTTTTTCAATTTAAATCCCTTTATTATGTCTTTCTTGCTTAATTGCTGTAATACAGACTTTCAATACTCTGTAAAATATAGTGGTAATTTTTACCTTATGCCTAATCTTAGAGAAAAGTCTTTCAAGTTTTTGCCCTTGAGTATGACGTTACCAATGGGAGTAATATGTTGAGTAAAGTTCTCTCTATCCTTTTATTGTTGAGAATTTTTATCATAAATGGGTATTGAATCTTTTTGAATGCTTTTTCCACATTCATTGATATGATCCTATGATTTTTATCTTTCCCTATTTAATGTGGTTCACATTAATTGACTTCCATATTTAACTTTCTTTACATCCCTGAAAAACAAATCTCAATTGATCATGATGCATAACCCTTCTAGCATATTTTTTGTTGAATTCAGATTGTTCAGATTTTTTGTTAAGAATCTTTGTATCTTGGGCTGGTGAGATAGAACAGCAGGTAAGGTGCTTCCCCTGCATGTCACTGATCCAGGGTCAATCCCTGGCACCCCATATGGTCACTGAGTGCAGACCTAGGAGTAATCTGTAAGCACCACTGGATGTGACTGGAAAACAAGCAAAAGGATATTTGTTATCTAAGTTCTTCTGGGTTACTTATTGGTCTGCAACTTTCCTTTTTACTGGTATGTGTATATGTTTTTGGTATCAAATTGATAGTAGCCTCATAAAACTGTTCAGTGGAATTTTCTGTTTCTTTGACTTTCTGGAAGAGTCTGACAAGGACAGGAAGTATGTCCTAGCCCCTCTTTGAAGGTTTGGAAAAAAATACTAGTGAACACATCTGGGCTTGGGCTTTTGTTTGAGAGAACTATTTTGATTACAGTTTTGACTTCTGCAATAGAAATAGATTTGTTCAGATGTTCTGATTCGTCCTAATTCAGTATTGGTATTTATAGACTTTAAATTTTTATCCATTTATTTTACACTTTAGAATTTCATGGAATAAAATCATTCATAGTATTCATTTTTGTTATTCCCCTTCTATATTTCTTTTTTTATTTTATTAAATGACTGTGATTTACAATATTATTTATCACTGAGTTTTAGACAATCAGCACCCCAGCACCAATCTCACCTCCAGTGTCAACTTCCCTCCACCAATGTTCCTCCCATAGCCTCCCCCCACCAGCATAAAATTCTTGCATTATCTTTTGTATGTCGCTGGTATCTGCTGTAATGTATGCCCTTTTGTTTCTGAACCTATGTGATAAAAGTTCTCCTTTGTGAGCATAGCAAAGGGGCCAATTGACCTTGTTTGTTCTTTTGAAAATTAGGTGCTGCTTTAATTAATTTCTTTAAATTTAGTTTCTATATTGTTGGCTTCTGTTCTAAGTTTTTATCATTTTCCTCCTACTTTCTGAATGCCCTTCGGTTCTCTTTCTAATATTTTAAGGTGCATAGTTAGGTTATTTATTTGGGTCTTTTATTATTTCCTCCAGCTGGAGCGATAGCACAGTGGGTAGGGCATTTGTCTTGCATGCGGCTGACCTGGTCGGCCCAGGTTCGATTCCTCCACCCCTCTCGGAGAGCCCGGCAAGCTACCAAGAGTATCTCGCCCACACTGCAAAGCCTGGCAAGCTACCCATGACGTATTCATGGTATTCGATATGCCAAACACAGTAACAAAAATTTTCACAATGGAGATATTACAGGGCCCGCTCCAGCAAATCGATGAACAACAGGAGAACAGTGCTACAGTGCTATTGTTTCCTAATGGTAAAGGTAAAGGTAATCCTTGCATTCTTATGAACTTCTCTTTTAGCATGCCTTTGCCTTGTCCATGTCTTCTGGTGACTCATTTCCTCATTTTATTTTGTTTCCAGGAATCTTTTGAATTATTTAATTTCCTCTTTGACCCACTGTATGTTAAGTCATAAGTGTGTCATTTCCAAGTTCTTGATTTCTCTCAGGTTTCTGTTTGTGATTGATTTCTACTCTGAGGCAGTATTTATTTCTTCTCTCTTGATTTTTATGAATTTTGTGTTTCAGTATTTGGTCTATCTTAGAGAATTTACCATGTGCACTAGAGACAAAATGAAGTCTGCTCTATAGTGGAGATCTCTTTTTAGGCTATTCTTCCATTTCTTCTTTTAAGGCCAGTGTTTCCTTATTGAGTGTTCAAATCTTTTACCACTATTACATTACTTTCAGTGTTAACAGTTGCTTCATATATTTTAATGGTCTTTAGTTTGATTTATATATGCTAAAGAGTGTTGTCTTCTTGATATATGCATCTGCTAATAATTATGTAATGTTCATCTCTGTCACATACAACATTTTAACTCTAAATTATCTGACATAAGTCTGGCAATCTTGGCCTTTAATATGCTTCTATTTGCCTGTAAGTTTGTTTCCTAGTCTTTTATTTTGAACCTGTGTTAATCGAAACCATTCAGATATGCCTCTTATAATCAACAGAAGTTTGGTTTCAGTTTTCTGATTCATCTAGCCATTCTGTGCTTTTATTTGGTGAGTTCAGGTCATGGATATTAAGTGAGATTATTGAAATGAAAGAATTTATTGCCATCTTCTTATATCAATTCTGAGTGTTTGTGAAGTTTTTCTTTGCTTTTTTGGCAGTCTTTTATTTTATTTCCCTATACTTAGATATCTGTCTTTTATGTAGTGGTCAGGTTACAATGGCCTTGTCTAGTGTGTTTTCCTTGAGATTAACAGGTTGCTTACTTTTGAAGTTCTGAGACTGTATTCCCTCCTAACTTTAAAGCTGGTAAGTCTCATGTGCATTATAGAAGACTCCATACTCCTCTAAACTCCAATTTATATTTTGGTATCTCACAACTCCCAAGCAGAATTCCTTTGTTTTTCAAAAGAGAGCATGTAGTGTGCTCCTTGCAAATCTGTTTCAGTATTTTAGTAACTATAAATTTCTTTAGCTGGTATTTGACTATAAAGACTTGTGTCACTTTTTTTTGTTTTGGGGCCGCACCAGGCAGTGCTCATGGCTTATTCTTGACTCTCTACTCAGGGATCACTCCTGGCAGGTTTGGCAGACCATATGGGGTAGTGGGGATTGAACCTAGATCAGCTGAGTGCAAAGCAAAACGCCCTACCCACTGTACTGTTGCTCCAAGCCACCTTGTGCCATTTCTTAAGTTTAAATGATAATCTATAAGTATTATTGCTTGCATATTTATTTCATTCAACATATATCATAGAATTTCCTATTGATCTGTAGGATTTCATTTGATATCTTGACTGTGAGTGTTATGAGCGTTCCCTTATATGTAACTTTCCTCTGTGGTCCTGCTACTCTTATGATTCTATCTTAGATTTTTTTTTGTAATTTTAATTACAGTGTGTCTTGGTATTACTCTCTTTGTATTTATGTTGATTGCAACTCTTTGGGTTTCTCACATCTGGGTGTGATTTAATCCTTAGATTATAGATGGTCTGATAATTTCTTCTACCAATAGTTCTTTAATATTCCTTCCTTTCCATTGGAGATCCTTACACTTTGGATTTTGTTCTTTGTTGTTTTTAGTCACATCTGGTGGTGTTCAGGGCTTATTTCTGGCTCTACTCTCAGGAATTACTCCTCGATTGGTTGGGGGACCATATAGGATTCCATAAATCTAACAAGTATTTTTCATCAACTCATGCAGGGGAATGTCTGTCTACCATCTAGACCTTGAATGCAGTTGGGTCACCTCCCTGCCTGGGGCTGGATATGAATGCCCCACTGCCACTCAACAACATATATTTTTTCCAACAATTATTCTAACATAGATATATTTACTCCCCTGTCCTCAAAAATTCTGAGTCCATTTTATTTACTGGTACTAGGAGAATATGCTTTCAACCATGCAGGAAGCCAGGAAAACTATCTTGTACATTGAGTGTGCTACTCAAAATAACATCTCTCTCCTCCCTCTAATTCCATATACAGTGTTACTGTATCTAAAGAGAAAGTCTGTACCGGAAGAGAAAGCACATTGCAATGGCAGATATCACTCACCTTAAACATCCAAAAGTATTAATACAGACAGTCCCTATTTAAGGATGAATTTGATGAATATAAAATTCTTGTACTCCAACTATCACCAGGAATTCTGACATAACAGTAATTGTCTTTTTTTATTTTCTGAAGGTGCCAAATCAATCATTCAGGAGTTTCCAGAGATCACAATTTTGACTACTGAAGTACATCCTGTTGCACCCACACATTTTGGACAGAAATACTTTGGAACAGACTAAGTTAATAAAGGGAATGATTTTGTGTAATATTACAGTTATGTTTTGAATATCTACCTGTTTTGTGAATTTCCTTGAGGAATGGCAGATAAAATTATGTTAAAGATGCTTTGTAATTTTTGGAAGTGGATATAACAAAAGGAAATATTTGAATTTTAATCATTTTATTTGTTTATTTCTTGATCATTGGCATGATATTTAACAATGAAGTATACACGCTTTTAGAAAATATTTTAATAATATATTCATTCAAATTTATGAATGCTCAGTACATTGAAACTGTTCCCTAACATATGAAACTCTCAGCTTAGAGACTGAATAAAACCCATAAATAAATCCATGAACAAAACCTAATTGGAATTGGTTCTTTGTTCTATTGTAGTTTGCATTTTTTAATTTGCCTTTAGGTCAAGAAAGGTTTTTCATACAATGTTATTGTTACTTCAGTCTAACTTTCTTGCTTTCTGATACTGTACATGTTTGTAAGATGACAGTATAAAAAACATAAAGAATGCCTCCTGGAATTTCACATTTTCATTAATAAAGGTAAAGGTAAAGGTAAAGGTAAAGGCCCTCCCGTTGATCGTCGATTTGCTCGAGCGGGCCCAGTAACGTCTCCATTGGAGACTTTGTTGTTACTGTGTTTGGCATATCGAATACTCTCGGTAGCTTGCCGGGCTCTCCGAGAGGGGCGGAGGAATCGAACTCGGGTCGGCCATGTTGGCCGCTTGTAAGGCGAACGCCCTACCGCTGTGCTATCGCTCCAGCCCATATTCTCACTCAATTTGCAGATCCAGAATATATGGATAACTATTCACTCAGGTCATAATGTTTTTACCGGTCCATTTTCAACATTGCCTTGGTGGTATGTTCCTTGCAAAGCATAACACAATGGAGATGATTATGGGGCATTTCTAGAAACTAGACCTTTATTATTATAACTTACATGGATTGAACCAAGGATGTTTGGACATTAACAAGGATAGTAGGTTAAGTACTCTTAGTGGCCTCAGTGCTTTGGGAAATAATTTATTGTGGCTTTTTCTGAGATTTGGAATAAAGGATGCTTGCTGTGTCTTGTGGTTCATAAATAAACTAAGATATTTCCTTTTCAAATTGGAGGTTTCTGCTGAATATCTCTGACTTGAAAATTAGTTCCATTGGATATTTGTCAATTTTATATGGTTAAAATGGGAAAAAGTACCATGATTTTTTAAATTCCTAGATTTATATGTGATCATATATTGGCTTCGGAAAAAAATAGAATCTTGGGGCTAGAGCAATAGTAGGGTGTTGCCTTGTATATGGTTAACCCAGATTTGATATCCAGCATCCTATTTGGTACCCTGAGCTCCGCCAGAAGTGATCCCTGAGAGCAGAGCTAGGAGTAATCCCTGAATGCCATTGTGTATGTCAAAAGAAGTAACAGAATCTTTTAGAAATCAGTGTTTTTTTTTCCTGAAACTTGCTTATCAGATTCTGTTCTCATGTTATATTGACATCAAAACATTTTAACAGTGATTGCTGTTAAAGTTGATTAATAACAATCTCATAGCCCAATAAACAGGTAATGTGGGCCTCTCTTAAACCAAACAAACAAAAAAGTCACAAAGAATAGAAGGCAATGCCTTAGAACCCAAGCTGATAAAAGTCAGCAAAGATTGGGTGATAGCAAGGAAAACTGATATAAAATCACAGCATCTTGATTTAAACATAGGAAGATTAGAAAGGTTTCGCTGTATTTTCTTCTCTCTGGAGCAATAGCACAGCGGGTAGGGCGTTCGCCTTACAAGCGGCCAACATGGCCGACCCGAGTTCGATTCCTCTGCCCCTCTCGGAGAGCCCGGCAAGCTACCGAGAGTATTCGATATGCCAGACACAGTAACAACAAAGTCTCCAACGGAGACGTTACTGGGCCCGCTCGAGCAAATCGATGATCAACGGGAGGGCCTTTACCTTTACCTTCTTCTCTCTGACTTTAAAGATTGTCATAATTGATTAATAGATAATCCATATTATGGTTACTTCATGGTAAATACATTTTTCACATTTTTATTGCAAACATCATCTGTACTTGTAATTGAAGTGTTTTGATACAATATGGCTTTTGTTTATTACTGATTAGTAGAAACTCTAATGTAAGCTCATTAAAGCAACATTATCTTCTTGTCCCAGGAAAGATATGAATAAGAATATTTAGATAAAATATAAAATTACATTAAATAATGAATTGAATTAGACGATAAGGTGATGTCTTACCACTATAAGAGTCAAAGCTTCTGAATTAGTGCCTATGTTCAGCTTTATTATTTTGTTTAAAGTGTATCTCCAGAGTATCAGAAAAATTCATACTCAGGTCAGGTATAACACCATATTTTAAGTCAATTATTTTTATCTACCACAGATTTAATGTATCATCACAGTAGGAATTATTTAGTGAAACAATATTCCCCACTGGTGTTTGTCTTCTACCCATCTATAACTTTCAAGAAATATTGTAAACACATCATCTGAAATATGGATGTTTTAGCAAATGACACATAATCTCTTGCAGGATTCTTCCTTTGGGCCTTGAAAATTTTCTAAGTGATACAAGATTAAAATATTATCCAAAATAAGACCATCAGAGCTATATAAACTTGTGTACATTGATGATTATAGAAAGTAAGCCTAACAAAATTAAATGACAATTGAATGGTTTGTGATTATCGTCTACAAAAGCTAAATGTACATCAGAATCACCTGGAACTGGGCCTCACCTGAGAGTTTCTGAATTACATTTCTTTCTTTACATTTCTTTGACCAATTTTCTAGCTTTCTGTTGGTGGTTTATTTCTACCTTCACATCATTGTGATATGAGAATAAGTTTTATTTGATTTTCATCCTCATGAATTCCGGGGACTTGTTTTGTGTCCTAACATGTGGTCTTTCCTAGAAGATGTCCCATGCACACTGACTGGAGAAGAGTAGGCACTTAGGTTTGGAGGGGGTGGGTGGGAGGGGGGCGTGGAGCTCCCTATACATATCTAGTAAGCTCAGTTTTTACATTTCTTCCTTTAAGGTCAGTGTTTACTTACTGATTTTCCTCTGATTAACCTATTAATCAATGAGAAGGGTTGTTAAAATCTCCTCTACTGTTTTATTGCTGCCAGTTACTTTAGGCTTGCTGGATGTTGCGTTATGTAGTTTGATGTTTCTTCATTTGGTGAATGCACATCAATGAGTTATTGTTGTATAGATCCATTATTATATAATGTCCACCTGTGTTTATAAACTTTACTTTGAAGTCTGTTTTGTCTGATATATTATTTTTATAAATATGACCATAATAGGTTTCTTTAAAAAAGCTATTTACCTTCATGATTGTTTCCTAGCCTTTACTTTCAGCCTGTGTTTATCATGAAAGTTTAAATATATTTTATGAAAGCATCAGAATATTGGGTTTTTTTCTGATCCATTCAGTCACTCTATGTATTTTGGTTCAAGATATTATACCACTGATACTGAGCGAGATTACGGAAATGAAGGAATTTATTGCAATCCAATCTTCTTATAAGAATTCTGAGTGTTTTGAAGTTTGTCTTTAATTCTTTCGCAACTTTCATTTTCTTTCCCTGTTCTTAGATATCTGTTCTTTATGCAGTAGACAGGGTCCAACAGCCTCTTCTTGGTTTTGTAATTTTGTTTTGAGATTATTACACACCATTTATATCTGAAATTCTGAGTCCTCTTATCTTCTTAACTTCAACGAGGTTAGACTTGAGCTCATTATATGACACTCTATTTTTCCCTCACGTTTTCTCCCCACATTTTTAGCAGCATACTACCACCATGTATGCCTTTATAGATGACTATTTGTTGCCTCTTGTATAGCTTGTTTAGTGGCCATGAACTTCTTTATTTTGGGGAGGGGGCACATACCCAGCTATGCTCGGGGCTTACTTCTGACTCTGTATTTACGGATCACTCCTGGTGGATCATTGGAGTGCTGGGTCACCACATCCAGGTAAGCCATGTTCAAAGCAAGTGCCTTACCCACTGTACTATTGCTCTAGCCTCTGCTGTGAACTTCTTTTTAAATTTTATTTATTTATTAGTGACACACCATGAGGTACAGTTGTAGACTTACAAACTTTCGTGCTTGAGTTTCAGTTATACAATGATCAAGTACCCATCCCTCCACCAGTGCCCATTCTCCATCACCAATGATCCTAGTAGCCCTCCCACCCTCACACCCCATCTCCCCACCCCACCCCACCTCTGTGGCAGTGCATTCCCTTTGGCTCACTCTTTCCTTCAGGGTCTTGTAGTTTGCAATATTGGGTGGCCATCGTGTTCAGTCTATAGTCTACCTTCAGCAAGCATCTCGCATCCCGAGCGTGTCCTCCAAACATCCTTGTTTTTTTTATTTTTTAAAAAATTTTATTAGTGAAACACCATGAAGTACAGTTGTAGACTTACAAATTTTTGTGCTTGGGTTTCAGTTATACAATGATTGAGTACCTATCCCTCCACCAGTGCGCATTCCCCACCTCCAATGCTCCCAGCATCCCTCCCACCCCCAACCCCCATCCCACCCTGCCCCTGTGGCAGTGCATTCCCTTTTGTTCTCTCCTTTTGGGTGCTGTGGTTTGCAGAAGAGGCATTGAGTGGCAATCATATTCTGTCTATAGTCTATTTTCAGCATGCAAGTAAAGGGTGTTGGGAGGATCCTCTCTGCCGTGAACTTCTTTAGCTGTTATTTGGCAGAAAAGTTTTGTGTCACTTCAAATCTAAATGATAATCTGGCTACATCATTGTTTGCATGTTAATTTAATTCATCATGTTGTCTATATGAGAAACAGCCTTGTTCCTGACGCCCCATTCGCTCTCAATGGAACGACCATCTCCGAATGCAACAGCTATGTGTACCTAGGTCGAGAGGTCAACATGAGAAATGACCTGGCACCCGAGCTGCGCAGGAGGAAGAGAGCGGCTTGGAACGCCTTCAAGAACGTCGAAGAAATAGCTAAGAGGACGAAGAACCTCCGGCTCCGGGCACATCTCTTTGATTCCACTGTTCTTCCTGCATTAACATATGCCTCAGAGACCTGGGCCCTACGCAAAC